GAAGGAGTATAAAATAGGGCACACTTATAGTTTATATAAAGAAGTAATGCAGAATGTATTATTACACATTACTAAATTATATATATTTTTTTAATGTGCATAAAAATACATTCAACCAATAAAAAAACATTTCACACTATACTTTTTTGTTTATTGCCTGTGCGACTGCCAGTGCCTGTAATTATAGAAGTATAGTCTGTGACAATAGAACCTTACTAATGTTCAAAATTTAAATCAATTATAGTCTAATTTCGACCTTAAGTTTTAATATTTTCAATTGAGAATAGTACATTAATTATTAAATAATTACATTAATACTGAATTACGTTTAAATTAAAATAAGACGATAAATATGTAACTAAGCATGTAGAAATGATTAATGTGTTATATTTTTACACTTATAAACACAATGTACTTTTAGTGACCTTTGTTTATCTGTGCGCAATAAGGTGTTATTATTATTATTTATGTATGTTAGTATTTATTTTATAAATATTAATTATTTTTATTATAATTATTATGCTATTCTAACGTAAATAAATGACATTATACACTTTTAAACTATGTAAACTTTTTGGTGACATCCCTAATTGAAACTTTATTAAACATAAAAGGAGTCGGGTCTATAGAAAAAAATTAATATAACTTTCAACTTTTTCGGGAGAGAAAAAATTGTCAAAGGGGAAAGCGGCACTCTAATTCTTCAAAGGACGCATTAGTGCTTCAATTTCACTGAAATTTGTTAATTTTCTCTAATTTTAATTATTAAAAATCATTCAATGGAATGTTAATATCCTGTTTCAATATTTATTCTGTCTATACTAATATTATAAAATGAAAATCAGTAAATTATATGAGTTGCATAACCATTTTTTGTGTTTACCAGATATGAAATCGCAACACATTCTATAGTCTATTTACTATTCCAACTAATAGGGGGTATGTTGGGTTTATTTGTATACAATAACATCGCGTACTCATACAGGAAAAATATATACAGATTAAATAAGGAGGAAAAAGTTAATGTAACCTCTCATTTGGCCCATTGTGTAGTTCTGTAAACATTAATTTATTACAAAATTTCTTCAAATTGAAGAAATTTTGTAATAAAAACTTCAGATAGCTCGGAAAGCAAGCTGCTGAGGACAAAAATAAGTGAGATTCCATCTCATGAGAGATAATATGAGATGAGATACCTATATAACTTATTAGTAAAAACTCCCCTTCAGTTGACTGTATAAAACATATTTCATTTTATACACGAAACAAACGATGTCATACAGATGAGGGTGCTAGTATAGCACAGGTAAATCTAGTTTAGGCATCTGTCTACATCATCTAATTGTACAATCCCATTTTTTAGTTGATGTAATGATGCCATTTCAGTGCATGTGGGAGAAAATAAAGTTATTATTATTATTATTAAAAATATGTCATAATAATTAACCACGACTCTAAACGTAGTGGTAACACTTGATATGTCTATATCTCAATAGGAGTTATATTTGAGTCGAAGTTAGTAGGCGAGCCTACCGCCGTTATTCAGATTAGTTGATTTGTTATTGACGTTTCAGAATTTATAGTCATTCAGAGACAAAATTTTAATTTTTTTTATCGACAGATTCAAAATCACGACCTTTCAATGTAATTCAGAGTCTGGGTCCCGAAGCTCTCACGATATATATTCACATTTTCTAAGTTGATTACCGCAGAAGCCTACTCACTAACGAATGCGTTATAGAATTAATTATACACGTTAGTCTTGATAAACCGCTGTTTGTGTTTCCACTGTTAGCGTTATTTTTATGTTTAACGTTATTTGACGATATTTAAAATATTTGGCGCGAACTGAATTGGTATGTATACGACGGAGTCCTGTAGTAACAGGACTCCGTCGTATACATACCAATTTGGATATTTTTTATATCACTTTTTTTCTAAAAGCTGTATTATTGGTTTGTCATTTTGTTTTTCGTAGTCTTTAGATCAAAATAATAGGAAATAGTATTTAATTGAGTTACTCGAATTTTCAATGTATATAATTTTTTTATTGACCGTTTCTTAATTCGACTATATTTTTTATGCGCGTTATTTCAGATATTTAAAATAAATTAGAATACAATTTTATTGAATATAATTTTACAGATTGATATCATTTTTAATTAGCTGCACGTAGGGACTGGTCTCCTCTAATCACTATAACTAATTTCCTCTTATTAATTGTTTAACCAGTTGGTTATATATTAAATATTTTTACTATTTGAGTATTTAATTGAATTAGTGCTAATTGGTGGTTTGTATTCACACACTTAAACTTAAAAATGTAAAGTAATAATAAAATTATTTAAAAGAACAACACGCAAGTTTCTTGCTCGTTCTTGTGATGAAACAGCTTTCCGAACGAGCGGTAGATTAAAAAAATGTAATGACTATTCAAAAGTGCATCAATGTAAGTTTATTTGAATAAATGATTTTCTATTTCTATTTCTATTAATCTAGCTAAATTAAGCTAACTCAAAATCTACTGGTACCATATACCAGTAGATTTTGAGTTATCCTTAATAATGCTACCTTTTGATTGGTTCAGAGATGTGCTAATGGAAATTGTCGATGATCCCGACCTCTCAGGCGCTATCAAATCATTTAGCTCGAGGCTAGAATTTGCATCGCTTTGTCTGTTCTACTGAATATACAACGTATTGTGTCCTCAAGTATTGTTCGGAATGATGCCTACATGTACCATTGCACTGTTTTCTCCGAATACTACAGATGGAATATTTTAATAATGGTATGTAATTCTTTTATTATATTGACATTCCAGGACTTTCAGGCGCCTATAGATTACGATAACCGATTTTTTTTCTGGCTGGTGTTATCCCAGGTTCTGTTCATGACAACTTTCCATCCACTAGTTTATAATTTCAAATCGTATAAACAACATAATCATATAAACTTATTGTCTGCTATGAATATATGCTATTCGCTTACATTCTAACCACACCCTAATTACATTAGTGTGGCCTTACTTTGTAACTATTAATAAACCACAGAACAAATTTTCTTTGTTCAATTACTGTACTTTGTTATAATAAAACTACAAAATCAGTTAACAAATCAAATTAATTCGAGAGCTAGTCTAATTTTATATGCCGTATGTGGCAAGCAATCATACGTTACCTGATGGTAAGTACCCTAGCTTACCGACGCCTGAAACATAGGGGATGTCCACTGAGCATTGCCGACCCTTTGCCTTCTATGACATTATATTCTAATATGTACATACGGTGATGCAGGATTTCTTTTATTTTGTTCTTTACTAACTATTATAACATCTGTAACAGCATGTAAGTATAAGCTTATACATAATATTATCATGGTAAATATCAGATTATACAATAATATGTATAGTCTATACAAATACTATAAAGAGGTAAAGTTTGTCAGTGTGGAAGTTCAGTTCAATCTCAGTTACTACTCAATCAATTTCGAAAATTCTTTTGGTGTTAATTAGCTCATTTATAGAGTAAGGCTATGGATTATAGAATATTATACTACAACTAATAGGAGCGGAGCTGCAATGAACAATGTTGCAAAAACGGGGAAATTGTGATATGTGTATTGTCGATTTCTGAGCGCATATGTTTTTGGAACATTTGTTCAAATATGTGTGGGAAAGTATTCTCCTATAATCTATTCTCTATTTTTAAAAAGTGAGAAAATCTTCTCATGTTCAATAAAAAAGATAAGGGTCTTTCTTCTGCAGTAGGCACCTCTGTCATACCTATTTTTCAGCCACCATGCAGCTTATCGGTTTTCCCACACTGGGAGAACTGGGAGAGTAATCAAAAACAGTAATAAGTAAGTATATTTGTTTGGTGTCAACTACCTTTCAGTGTATGTCGGTATAGTAACCAGTAGGTCATAAAACTCTGCAATATATAGAATTTTACTGGTTACATAAACCCATTATTAATAATTTCTATTTTATTGGTTAGTCGTTATAATATTATTAATATAAGCACTTACAGCGAAGTGATTTTTAAATATTTTTTTAAAAGGAAACATCTAAAGTGCAATCTGGTAATGGAGGGCAATTTACAAAATGAGTTCGTATAATTGCTTTTATGGTGAACCTCTTTGCATAAAACATAAAACGTAAAAGTATTTAATTATTGAAAGAATTGAACAAATATAAATATCCTTACCGGCATTTTTATCGACGAATTCCGTGAATCGACGAAGTGCAGTTGTTTATTCACTGCCTTATTTTCCAATAGTCGCTTGTTCGATTCCCGGGCAATGCACATATTATAATCATGAGCATAAAAATTCACTTTATATTGATTCTGGGTCTAGTACTTCTATTTTTTTTTTTCTACTTTAGGGACACACATGCGTATCGCATAAGCAGTTATCGTGCCTTTGAACGTCTGTGATACTAGGGGTATCACATACGCTATGCCGACCCTTAAGAAACCTTAACATACCTTCCTATGTCCTTCGAGATAACCTCGGCAGGTAGTTCATTCCACTCAAATCAATATATACATAATCGGTGCTGCTATACCGACCACGGCAATGTATCTGTCCCGTCTACACTACGCCACTAAGGTGCAGGAGATTATTCACTACATACGGACAAGGAGTAACCTAACATTGAGTGTGATGCAGCTGGAATCGAATCATAAAGCGAGTTTCAAGGTGTTTTTTGCCCGGGTTCCCACCAACATGCTGATTAGATCCATACAGGACTACTGGCTGAAGGGTGTGGTGTATCGGCGCTACCGTGGCAGATTGCCGTCACTAGTGCTGTGACCACACAGACAATTTATATTTTAATTTCAATATATATATTAGTCTCTAAGGTTTTTATTTTAGGCCAGTAGTAACCTGAATTAAATTAATAAATAAATAAAATATAGTAACGATATCAAGTACAAATTGCGGTCGTCAGTATTATAATACAAGAGAAACCAAATGAATGTACAATACAGTATTTTATTTCATAATTTCAGTATCGGCAGTCGTTTCAATTGTCTTTCAATTTGTTTAACACTCTTATCTTTTATATTAGGTATCCCAAATAAACTGTACACACCAGCAAATAGGTTTATACAAGCAAATAAGTAGAATATAGTATATATTCCCGTATAATCTTCGATATATTTAAAGGAGTGTACATGTGCTAGTTTTATTAATTGTGAATATGCATATAAAACACCGAGCAGCTTGGCGCGTATCTGAAATAAAAATATTATTGAGTTAGTTTGAGAGTAATTATTAATTATTTAGTTACATAAACAATCTCTCAGACAATATCTGCTTGCTTTATTTTAAAAGTTCACTTCTACAGACATTTGACTTCTTACAAATATATAGTATATATTAGTTTTTGTCTAAAATCATGTTCTGGATAACTGTAACACAGTTTTATTTAACTAATGTAGTTGATTACAATCCAAACACGATTTATCGTAGTTATTATTTCAATGGATTAAAATAAATTCATTTAAAACGCTACACACGGTTAGTATTACATATTATACAGCTAAACCTTAATCAGGTTGTTCTGTTCTGTTGGTTGATAAAAACCACATGAACTTAGCTCAGTCTTTACCCGAACCAAATCTTTCAAAGAAAGCTGCTCGGGGGCAAAAATGGATGGTAAAAAGTGACTACAAAGGTCACGCCTTCAAAGCCTGTATTTTTACTACCATAACTTTAATTTCACCTGAAGCAGTTTGCAAAAAAGAAATTAAATTAGAATACACACCTCGAGATTATAAATCTCAACCATGATAATTATGGGTAAACCCCATGCTAAACCATATCCCACAATTAGCACACTCAGGGCTGCCACCGGCAACCAATGTAATGATCTCACAGTCAGATCTGTTTGTGTGTAGACCCCGAGTACACCCATAGACAGTACCATTATCACATACCCAAAAGTCAACAGATACTGAAACAAATGAATAATTATTATAAACACGTTTACATTTAAGACGCTTATTATTAAAGGGTCACCCAAAAATTTCAGTCACAAGTTAAGGATGGATGGATGGGACGGATATCGACAAAGTGTGACATTATAATCTCTCATCTGCGAAGGAGCCAATTATTGAACTCGGACACTATAGCCCTATCTATGAGAAGTTCGATAATTGGTCTTAGGGCGTTACTGTCATTTTACAGGTAACAGTTGAGAGTATATAACGGAAAAATAAGGGGGCAGGGATGAAAAACCTAATCTGGAATTAGATTTTTCATCACGTTTCAATTTTAGTTTTGAATCACAATATTTTAGATATTAAAATATGACCAACTGTGACACTGGATAAGAAGAAGGTGAAGGGATAAAAAAGACAGAAATTAGTGTAACGTAGGTACGTTACGGATTTCCCCTAGTACCGTGTTCAAGCTACTCGAAAAACCACTTGTTTATCTTGATTAAATTTGTATGAGATTATACTAAAAGGTTACATGTAAAAACTACAGTCGAAATGAGAATCAGCTTTTTTTTGTACACAGTAAGTCCGAGTCAAACTCACAGATCCAGGATTCATAACAAAGTATGAATAGTATTTAATTACAGTTACTGAGGGTAATATATACATAAAATAGGAATAAGATGGAAAATAACATCTTAATCCTCTAGAATGGCAGCGCACGCAAGGTATTTTTTTTTTAAAGGATGATAATGGAATGGTGCACTCGCCTGCGCTAACGGTTTACGCTGGCGGGGCACCAGTGGAGGATGATAAGATGAACATGAAGTCAGATCAGTTAGCCCAACGTGACATATTCACCGGGAATGTATCACGATGGTTTCCAGGTCGATCTGACATGGTACATTGCTAGCAATGGGATCATTAGTCCACATTACTAACAATTCCCTTCCCTCCACGCAAGGAATTAGGGGCGTCACATGATCATGTACACAAGTTACGGATGCCACTTACCTACGCTAACTGGTTTACCATTCCATTTCGGTAACAAAATTCAGATTCGCACAAATATAAATTTTCCATCATTACCTTTCTCTCAACAAATTTGATCATCAACAAGCAGAGCAGGCCGCCTCCACACAAACAAGCCACGACGAGCACTTTCTCAGGGTCCATATCCATTTTTAGTTGCAATAAAGCCTTATCTTGATCTAAGAATACGATGCTGCCACATATAACATGTATTGTGTAGAGAATAAAGCCTATTTTCGTGGCGTCCCACCATATTCTGTCTTTTACTGAAAGTAAGATTAATAATAATAACCCCTGGATTATTTTTGCACAAGCCCTCTGCTAGAGTAAATACCTATTAGAAATAAATCATAATTAAAAAGAAATGTACTACACTACTCTGTATTCCTAAACCATATACTCTGTGTCCAGAGACACAGAGTATATAAGTCTGCAATATAATACATGTTGATTTTTGTATTAAATTGTTTAATAATATAAATAAAACTGAGAATCGTAACATTAATTTTATTTATATTTAATTTGATTTATAAAAATTATAGTTTTTAGTTAATTATTTTGTTTATATTAGGCCATAAATTAAGCAACTGAAAAGGTTAAAGAGTTCACACGTGGGAGTAAAATATTGGTGCACTGCCGAGATCTTGGCAGTGTTGCAACAATAAGCAAGTCCTTTAGTTGCTAAAACTACCAAATTTTAGAATGTAGTGTATGTATTTTTCTGGTTTTATATTTCTTTTTATTACATTCTTTTATTTATAGTATGTAATAAAATATATTAAATTATTTGCTGACATATGTATTGACAATTAATTAAATTTAAATAAGAAACAAACTATTATATAATATTACAAAAATGTGACAAAAATAATTCAGTCCTTAACATTCTAATATTTATATTTGAACATTAAATTTATTTATCACTAACATTTTTCAATAAGTATCTTCTAAAGTGAAATATTTTTCTCTTAGTTTTTCAAATCCATAATAAATATTCAGAAATAAATTTTGCTTAAAAAAATGGTAGTCAAATTTACCAGTTCTAGTAGTGAAATCACTAAGGTGGCAACACTAAATTTTATTTTATACTAAGAGGGTGCTAGCATTAGCGTGGGAGGAGCATCCTACGAGAATTTGAACGCAATTTAGACACTGAGTAGGGTCAGTACAGATAAAAATATTTGTATAGCGAAAGTTACCTAACCCGCTTCAATAACGCTAATTTAAAACGAGAAATAAGTATAATGGCTGCCAAATGGTAAACAATTAGATTAAGCAATTAATAAGAAGTGTTATAGACCCAACGACCTTCATTAGTGTCAGGCCTTTCTCTAGATATTCTTTTCCTTATGTCAGGATTAGAATAAAAATATTCATTTAACATAATCATAAAATTTTTATTTAAAGAAACTTTATATGAGTACTAGCTGACCCGACAAACGTTGTTTTTCCATATAAATTAATGTCGCTATTAAGAAACATGGGTTGGTGATAGACAAGTAAAAATTTAGAAAATTTACAAATTAAAAAAATTTTCGAAGAAATTCACAAACCTATTGAATATATATATGAAATTTCATCAAAATCGATCACGGCATTTCGGAGGAGTATAAACTCAAAACCTGTGACACGAGAATTTTATATATTAGATTGCTTAATGGTGAGTGGTAAGCATCGCCTATTTATATGAACACTAGTACGGACATCTCATTATCTGACCACGAATAGTACAGTCCACTAATAGTGTTGCAATTCCATGTCAGTATTCTTAAACTCATTGACATATAATAAAACACAGATTATAAAACTAAGACGATTTTGTATAAAGTCCATTACATAATATAGTATGGAAAAACTTATTACAATGTCATTTCAGTTCCTAGTGGATCAACCTTTGATTAATATTCACATAAAAGGACAAGCAATTTACAAAGGCTATCTAAAATGTATCTCGTCTTGAGAGAAAGAAGCTGCGGGCTACTAAATATCTTCTCAAGAAATTGCTAAGAAGGGCCAAATATTTTATTTACATATTTAATTTCAGTTGGCACCCTGTAAAATTAATCTATTCCCCAATTTCTAGCGGTTCAAGATCTATACTTCTACTTGGAATTTATTGTTCAATCTAGTTAATAATGAGAACTTGTATAATTAAGAGAAATAGTACTTATTTATTTAAGTTGCGCTGAATGTGGTACAATGGTACACCATTGTTGGTTAGCTTTAAGATTATCTCTCACATTAAGTCATCACTGACATGCAACAGCTAGCATTGTCAATTATAATAGTCTATATTATGTATAAATGTATATATATACAGAGTACAACTTTTTTATAAGAATACTGGATGGTACATACCTTACCATGCAGTATTCTTATAACCTTCATGATGATGATGAAACATATTCCATGAATTTGGTAAACAATCTTGAATTACTTATTCGTATCGGTATGGAATAGGCCGATATGATAGAAATTAATAAATAAAATAAACTTACGAATTTTAACTAAGTTTAACTTTCCATTTGCTGTACCTCTGTCACTTTCATCTTTTAAATGTGTTAATTCCGTTGATATTGTTGGATTATCGTATGTCAAACATTTTAACTTCGACAACGATTGCATCGCTGCCTGGAAAGGAATTTGTTCATGAATAAAAAAATTACGTTAATTTTGTCATGTTAGATTTAAAATTGCTGTATTCATAGTTTCAATTAATAAATCTATATTGCCATGAAAAGTTACAGTTTGAAAATGAAAAACGTTAGGTCTGATTTCTATTGATCCACATTTAATAAAGTTTTGAAAATCCCTGATCTTATGCTATATTTAAATTATAAGAATTAATACATTGTCATTCTATAGTCTTTATTTCAATATATTTTCATTATTTTATATTTTATATCTTATTTGCTAGATATCTGTAAAACTACTTAACCATCTTCGTCTATCAGAACAGTGCTACATCATACTAATTCAATAACGCAATCAATTTATAACTCACCTCCATTTTCCCAATCATCACCAAATAGCTCGGTGATTCCACCATCACTACCATAAATATGAATTGTATTATCACGAGTGCTGTCATCGAATACATCAAAGTTTCAATTCCTGTCACCAACTTCATCAGGTATCCGGCAGTTGTCATCACCATCATCAATGACATCGTCACGCCCCTTGTGTTTATTGAGCTTATTTCTCTTATGTAAATTGGTAGAACAGTAAATAGTCCTCCTGACGAGATTCCAGCGAATACATGTAATATTATCATATTTATGTCTTGCGGCGGTAAAAATAATGGTACAAGTGAAGCCTGTAATGATATTGCAATATTAGTCTCGATGATTTCATTGCTGTAGTGGTTTAGCACACAGCCTTACTTCATCGCGGGTTCGTTCTCCGCGTGCGACAAATTCGCGGAGTGAAAACTAATAAAACTGAATACATTACTCACACCCTGCATTAAACTGATGATGAATATTCCAATCTTTCTTCCGAACTTATCAATGAGGTAACAGTAAATTGGAGCGGATGTACCAGCTGCTAGCAACATGGCTGTAGCGTTCCATGGCTCATCATCAGGTGAGGTGATGAAGTGGCCTGCATGCGCTGATGTTGAAAGTATTGTAGTTTCTATGCCGTGTGTGAAGAATGGAATGCTTGCTGAAACAATAAATAAATAAAATTATTATTAATTTTGATTTTATGATGGGCTTGGTGGTCTAGCTGTTTAGTACACCGTTTTCCCTCCGATGGTTGAGGGTTTTGTTCCTTGCTTTGTGCAAACATTTGTATTCATGAGCATGGTTATTTTTATTAGTCTGGGTGTTTTGGATGATGGAAGATCGCGGAAGGTGGCAAGAGCTCCACCGACAAGAGCGTAGCTCTTAAATTATGAATGAATGAATGAATGTATTTATAGAAAAAATATATATCTTAATTTACATAAGATAACACTAGCTTTATTTTTCTTTGGGCTAATAAAGCTATTGTATTTATTATAGTCTCTTGTTTTTTTTTGTGATTTCTTGCGCGATTTAATTGTAAACGGACAATAAAATCACTACGCAATAAATAAAACACAGACAGCGCCACCAAAAAGTAAAAATTAGCAGTTATAATTTGACCAAACCATATTATGTTTTTGTATCAATTTATATTTCTGAGTGATTCTCCGAACTGACGGAAACAACGATAATAAATAAATTAAATTAAGAAACTGCAGTATGCTTGCCACACTGCCATATTGAATTCAAATATATCCAGCGCAATAAGGGCATGTGATATGTTAAGTTAACCTCGACGTTGATATCATGTCTCTGGCTACCCCACCACGAATAATAGTCATAAAGGTTTATTATTACTATACTTGATTTATAAGAAGACCGGTTAAATTATAGCTATTAATCTAATTAGCATAGAACCTAATCTGTTACATTAACTAATTATAAAGTGCTGAATTAAAAAGGTAAGTAATATCCTAGCATTAGTTATTTTAAAAATAGCGTTAATGCAAATAAAAAATACCACTCGAGATGACGTAATTCAGAGATTAGATGAAGTAATAAATTATAGAGTTAATATAGTAGTCGAACTCATATTTAATTTGACTGTAGAGTTTTATAAGCATGTATATGGAGTGGTGTACAAATAGAATTCTGTAGAATATAACAAGTATGAACACGAAGTCATGTCAGTTAGCGTATCGTGGCGAATTCTCCAGGAATTTAACTACGATGAAGTCCATAGTGTACCATATCAGCTTGACCTTCGTCCACCTAATATTATACATTGCTGGTAAGGATGGCTACTGGTAATAATAATCCCCTTTTCTACGTGTATAGAATGTGCTGAAGTTGTATCCATGTAATTTGTTTTGTGTTATGAAAATAACTCTCTTTTCTAGGATGACTGTAAAAGATTACTTGTAGCGATAAGACTGCCCTTTGCTTTTACTTTTCTACGCTCTATTTTTGTTGTATTTCTTCTCTGCTTCTTTATTTCCAATATACATAAAACTATTATTTGCGACAGGCGATGGCCTGCCTTATAGAATATGGTCGTCGCAAATATTAAAGTTTTTGTCAAGTGTGTTGATAAGCTTACTTGACAAAAAAATATAATTGAATATAATTTCCATAAGTAATCATGAAGGTATATTTTGTAAAAAGCCATCTGCGAGGGTACCTCTGTTATATTTTTACATAGTATCTATTTTAGCCTTGTTTTTTAGGTTATCTTTATCTTATATATAAAATTCTCGTGTCACAGTTTTCGTTCCCATACTCCTCCGAAATGGCTTGACCGATTCTCATGAAATTTTGTGAGCGTATTGGGTAGGTCTGAGAATCGGCCAACATCTATTTTTAATCCCCCTAAATGTTAGGGGTAGACCACCCCTAAATTATTTTTTTTTATTTTAAGGCGAAACAACGTTTGCCGGGACAGCTAGTGTTATATATAAAGTAGTGTTGCGGATTAGATGCATCATATCTTAGTCCTTAGTGGTAGTCATTCAAGAGAATGTTGCCGTTCTGTAGCATAAGGTTCATGAGGGTCATGTGATAACATGACGATAAATTAATAAATAAAAACTACGTGATGTGATATATATCATTTTGTACCACAGACGACATGTAGACTTGTACAAAGATATAAAATATCTGAAATATTAAAGATATATATTTTTTTTATTAAATTTAACACATTTTATCTCTTAAAACTTATACATCATAGTTTTGTGATAGATTTTCGTACGTGTACCTATATAGTTGCTACATAAGAAGGATTGTCAACTTATTCGCTATTCCAATTACATAAAAAAAATCATTAACTTGTCTTTAGACTAGGAACACTATCGTTAGGACGTCCTTAAGTTGTTAATTGTACGACTCTTACAGTCCAATTTCGTTCAATTGAGACCACTAAAGAGGATAATGCGATGTTGCTGTTAGCCAATATCCGTACATTACGAGATTGTAGGTCTTCCTTTCTTTAGGTAACTGGAACGGTAAACAAGCTGACGGAAGTGATATATACATGAATAAAATACCAATCGTATGATTGGTATTTTATTCATGTATATATCACTTCATACAAATGCGAAATTTCTGGCCTTTGGTATGACGATATTTAGAAGTTTTTACAAGATCTTGACCCCTGAAAATCCATTACAAAACTATCATGTGCGAGTTTTAAGAGGGAAAATGTAACTCATTTTCGATCTTAAAACTCTTATCTCTTAACTCTCTCTCAAATCTCTTAACTTATCATTATGAATGTATCAGAATTTTTATATCTCTGTACAAGGTGATGTCCGTACGAAATGACATCACGTTACGTATAACTCTGATTGTCCATTCCGTGATAACAGTCGTGTCGGTATGTATAAAATAAATTTAATGTTTAGGCAACTCGCACTTGACAGTTTTTTGTACAACAAATACAGCGTAATATATATTATCGAATTTTCTTGCTCACTTGGCTCGAAATAAATTGACGTCCGTTCACAAACGAGTGAATAAAGAATAATAGCTAACTGTACATTATATGGAGTTGTGTACAAGTTATCTGTAAACAGATATTCAATCTATGCCAATAACGCCATAAATTTAACAATTTCGCAGTTACGACTCAATTTTAACTATAATTCTATATTAATAAGAGACGGTGAAATTATTGTAGAATTTTTTTTTAAATAATCACCAATTTACGCGTTCATAATTTATTAAAGATCCTTTTGAATCGATTTAGTGTTGTTGTTACACTCTCTTCTTTGATATTTTATATGTACCTATTAATAAATATAAAAGATACATATTGAAAAAAGACATTACTCTGTAAACGATTAGTTGGAAGACAACCTTGAATGGCGTTGGTTGTTGAGATAATTTTTAATATTTTAAATATGGTTTTTTTTTTGAGGGTTGATAATGGAATGGTGCACTCGTCTGCGCTAACGGTATACGCTGGCGGGGCACCAGTAGAGGATAATAAGATGAGCATGAGGTCAGGTCAGTTAGCTCATCGTGACAAATTCAGCAGGAATTTAACATGATGGTTTCCAGGGGGAACCGCATGGAGGTCGACCTGACATGGTACATTGCTAGCAATGGGGTTATCAATCTACATTACTAACAATCCCCTTCCCACCATTTTAAATATGTTAGAAATGCACTACTTAAACGCAATGTAATTTTTTAACCCTAATATTAATTAGTAAAAACAATAACAACGATGTTTATATAATAAATACTCGACAAATTTAAACATACAATATATAATAACAGCCAATATACTACAGTAAAAAAATGACAAGTTAGATTTCTTGTCAATACTTTTTAAATAAAGTTGCTAACCGAATTGGACGATAGGAATAGTGATAAAAATGACATCCATAGGTAGATGAAAGTGTCCTATATGAAGAAACTATTTCTATGACTTTAGTTAATGCATTAAAAACTAAAAATCAAATCTTATTTTTTTATAACATTTGAATAGATTAGAAAGTAATTATTATAGTAGATCTGAATAATGTCGTATTGAATACTGACAAGCACTGTACAATGCTGAATGTAATTTAACTAGCTGATATTTACCTATAGTCGGATTATATTAAATCATTCAATTGATTCAATGGCCTTCACAATCTAAGAGGTGAATTTACTAGACAGAAATTAGATTCTTGATTTCAGCCATTACGTTAATAATGCATTTAAACGATTAGGTTCTGTTACTTTAAGTGATTTTTATAAATATTTCATACTAGCTTTCCTGCACAACTTCGTTTACATCACACTATAAATAATAGCCTATATGTTATTACGATATATAAGCTATGTTACTGTAAAGTTTCGTTAAATCTGTTCAGTAGTTTTTGCGTGACAGAATAACAAACATCCATCCATACTAACAAAAATTCGCGTTTATAATATTAGTAAGATATAACGGAAACTGACTTATGTACTTAAAATTAAATCTTAATCAAACTATATATATACATACGTAGAATAAGACTAAGAATTCAGGTAGATAGATTTGTCTCCGCGTAATAATTGTTTACATCCACCGTCATTTCCACTCGGCCCATAACAGGTCTTATCTTAAAGATTTTTCTTATTAAACTTACAAAATAATTTACTTTTAATATTAGTTCTATATGTAGTTATATATGCGTCGTGACTTAATAGTTTAATACCCTGAAATAAGGCCAAGATGTCGTGAGTTTACATGTGCAGGTTACGAAAAAAAAATAGAAACTTTGTCAATTTATAATTGTGACTGACCCGAGAATGAAGAAAACACAGATTCAAATCAAAATTAATCGAAGTATAGGTGGCGTGCTTGACTTCTATCACTTTGGATTCTAAATGTACTGAGTGAAACGTGGACATATTAAGCATTATGTTCACCACGATATCAACACAATTCAATTGACAATGCCTGTGACTACTCCATCTGGGATAATAGTAGTAATAGTATGTTTGTTTGTAAGTACTTATAGTCGAGTTATAATACAATTACAATTCAATTTCAGTTTCCCTAATACATTTGAACAAAGTTATAGTGAAGAAATTATCTTAATCGTTCGGAAATGAGGGAATATCATGTTAATTAATACCTTAAACAATAGAATTAAACTTGAATGGGCATAACTTGGTCTGTTCGTGTCTAAAACTATTATCTATTCAAAACAATGTGAAGCTGAGACTACTACTTCATATCAATAAACAGTTTTTATTGTTTGAATTCTTAAACAGGGTTGCCATATAACAGCGATTTCCTGACATGTACAGAATTGGACTAATATTGAAAACGTGCCTAGCAAGTCGCTAAATTAATTAAGGAATTATACCTAATTTTGATTTACGTCATATTTACATTCCCAACCTGCTTCTGAACTTGCTTCTATTTGTAATTCTGAAACTTATGTTAATTTTATTTCGTTATGAATCTATCTGTTGATAATTCATAACCTGACTCCGATTTTATTGTTTGTAACTGTGATTCTACATAATTAGTAAGGTCAGTTTATTGTTGAATCGTCATTACTCATTACATAGTATAAAATAAAGTCGCTGTGGCTGTCTGTCCGTCCCTATGTATGCTTAAATTTTTAAAACTACTCAACATCGAAGCGGTTTTTTTAATAGATAGAGTGATTCAAGAGGAAGGTTCATATATATATAATACAAGTACACCCGTGCGAAGCCGAGGCGAGTAACTAGTATTTTTATAAATATGCATTATTTGTTATCATCAAGTTTAGGCCATACAAATGCAGCACCAAATATTCAGATAAAATGTTAAGTTTGCATGTGTTCTTAACACCGGATGACAACTCAACTGCATCAATAAAATTAGTTTACTGCAAATTTAATCTTTATTTTTATATATTATAGATATTTTTTAATTTTTTCTCTTATTATTACTTAAATTGCCTTAAACGATTCATAAAAAAAATCTAGTGGTTGAGTTTCTTGTCAGATCCACTAAATCGAAGTGTCTAGCCGAATTGTAGTAGGGAAAAAAATCTACATATGAAGAACCTATTTTGACTATGATTATTTAGTATTAATTTTTAAACTTGTATGATAACCCTACTTGTAACTGATACCTTACGCTAGAGTCATTAAATATATACCTTCAATAAACTCAGTTTATCGAACATTTAAGTAAACCAAACGATAGTATACTACTGATAATTGTGACCCAGAAAAAATAATTGTCATTTTTTATCGACTTGTCAAGGGCGAAGTTTTTTAATTAATTTTTCATTTTCTGTAACGATCTATCTTCTTTTATTAATATAAAATAAAGCCATATGTATGTTCAGGTTAACTTTATTCGCTGCAATAAACCGATATGAAGAAAAATATGAGAGGTGATTAAATTTAAATTAAAAAAAAAAACAATTTAGATTATTTATTTTAAACTATCATATTATCTACGTTTTTACACATAAAAATATTAAATCCACGTTCATTTCAATATTATAAATATAATTTTAAATTAAATTATACAGTAACACAATAAAATATAGGATTTAATTTAATTTTGTGAGGCGCGCTCCATAATCCTATCGTAATAAAATTATGAACTTATATTGGTCAAATTAAATTATCCCAGTATTGGATTAAGTTATTAAATAAATTGAGATTGCTATAATTTTTTACTATTTACAAATTTTGAGGATAGTTTTGATAGGAGAGAATTTTTAATATTGGGTTAGGAAGGTAGTAAGGGTTAGTAGTAATGAGTACTACTGTTCCTGTTGCTAGTAGTAGTATGTCAGATCGTACTGTTTCTGTTCCTGAGGGCACTGTGTTCAGACACAGTTCCCTCGAGGTAACCATCCGGGTTACATCCTAGCAAATTCACCACGATGACTTTACTGTCCTTGCTCATCGTATTATTCTTCACTGGTATACGCCAGCATATATTGCTAGCACAGACGGGATCACCATTCCATTATTATCAATTATAAACGTATTAGATTGGTTGCTCATAATTTATCCAGAATATTCTCTACACTGTTCCTGTGTTCCCCTAGGAAACCATCGTGGTTAATTCTTAAATTTGTCACAATATAAATAAAACTTTGCAATTATTAATTCCCCATGCACCCCGTGCCGTGTGATTAATCCCCGTTCATGCAAAACTCCGACCATAATAGTAAGCTTGTCTCTACCTTATCGAGTTCTTTAAGATATTCTCAGCGGTCTGTGGTAATGGTAAGTGTCACAATAATAATAATAATACTCCTGGATAATTACTACATCGCTGTCTACGTAGTTCCAAACTTTGTAGAACTTGCTATGGTTACTGAATAATAGTAATACTTTTTTTTAGAAACACCTAACGTATATAGAAAATAATCGAACGAAAAGTAAGTGTACTAAATTACTAGACCGCTCGACTAAAGCTAGGCTAAGTACAGCTTTTGTTATGGGCACTAGATAAGTTACAGATATATTTACATATTTTTTTAAATACATAAAAAACACCTAGACTGATACAAACTATTATACTCATGAATACAAATGTTTGTAGTATACGAGGAGTCAAACGCGCGATCAATAGAATTAAAGCGCTGAATACCACAACTGCGATAGTTGAAAATGCCTCTGATTACCGTTTTTAGAATTATGGTCTTATGAATTATTCTAATTATTTTATTAGAATATTATTTTCCAGAATGCATAACATTATAGTACAGTTTCAGAAGAGCTTCCTCCCGCGTATATTTATATTGTGGAATGAACTTCCTGCCGAGATTATCTCACGAGACAACAGCATGGGGTTTTTCAAGAAGGGTACATTAAGGTTTGTTAAGAGTCGGCAACGCGCACGTGACTCCCCTGGTTTCAGGCGTCCATAAGCTACCGATACTATTTACCAGTTTGTTATTTTACAGTATAAAATAAAAATACATGTCAATGACTGTTACTACACTTCGGCAAATAAATATTATTTAACAAAAACAAATGTCTTTAGTCTCCTAGAACTAGTTTGTTGATTCCGTTTTTCTATCGACTATCATGTATTGATGTTTTCGAAGTTCAAGTAATCTGTTTGTTAGAAAAAAATCTCGAATTAAAAGTAGTACTGACCGCTTGGCAATATGTAGAAACTTGTTTACTTATCTATGTTTTGAAAGCCATTTGGTGGAATTTACAAAACAAACATAACTCTCTTTATGCACAGTTATATCCTCAATTTAAAACTTGACTATCACATATCTATACTAATATAATCAATTGTTTGTTTTTCTGTTTGAATGCGTTAATCTCACGAGCTACCAATCCAATTTGCAAAATTCTTCTTGCATTTTATTACCTATAGCCATTTTTAAATCGAAACACAAACATAACGGCTCCTTTGGTGATAAGTGGCAACAGTCAGCTACATAAATTAAGAATGCCACAGACATTTGTCATATGCGAACTAATATAATCGCTTCCATACCCAGCAATTTCCCTGTCATATCTCATCCTTCTACCGCATCACAACTTACAAAGAAATTGTTTAACGGTTGGGTGTAATGAGTGAGACAGAGGTACCCAAGTTTGTACATAAACTTTGTACAAAGTGCTTCTAACAAACTTTGAAGGCAAATAAAGGAGTAATACTTGCACTACGACTATTTTTTTTTGGAAATAATAACTAAACACAGGTTTCAGAATATGTACTCATGGATACAAATGTTTGTATGACGTGGGAATCGAATCCGAGATCATCGGAAATATCATAGTGTATCATACCGCTAGACGATCGATGTTGGCAACTAAACTAATGCAATAAATTTAATTTGATGAAAAACAAGATAACTAATAATAGTAATGTGTGTGTGAGCATAGTAATGTGTGAGTAATAGTTCTATTATCTATACAAATAAATAGAATTGAAGCGCCTGTTGGTAATTTCTTTTAGATAAATAATTTCTCTACCTTTTTACTAAATGCATATGAAAGTATATATAGTATTTATATCAAGTTTAATTTTTAAATGTCTTTATTATATTTATTTGTGCAGATTTATGGTATCTATATACATGTTCATAATAGAATGAAACTACTTACCCAGAAATGATATTATAAATTCCTTCCATACAGACCCTCTGTTGTCATGTTTAGAGACATCCTGTTCAGTTGATTCCACTGTGAACACCATTTTTCTCAATTTCCCAACAACAAACAATAGAGCCGCTCTACAGACTAGAACCACTCGAAATGTAATGAAGTTAGTATCATTATTTTTATACAACATCTCGTATAACACATGAAAAATGCCATTCAAAAACACGCCCTAACTCTCAGTTTTAAAGTGTAACACGGCAATGTAAATATTTAACAAATTATATTACACATTTATTTTTTCATGATCTCTTTTACGGCACGTCAAATAAGGAGCGGTGCGTGATACCATTTGTGTCAACATAGCTGTTGCCGCTTAACGTACTCTACCACGATCTCAATACTTAACTAGTTTCTGCCTGCGTTTTCATTTACTTGATATGAAAAATTACAATAGATGGAGCTTAACTAATACAGGTTATACAAAATCGTTGTAGGTCCTCTATATCATGTATTACAGCCGTCAAATAGCTTGCTTTGTTAGATGTGTTCCTGTAAAAGATTGAGATGTGGCAGAGAAATTACAAGGTTTGGAGTAATGATATCTTACTTCTTCGGAATATATGAGGTATAGATCGGTATCAAACGATTACATAATATTTATACGTATCAATATTATAAAACCAGTTATATTAGCCATTTCAGATATTTCAAAAACAAGCTGTTCCCATTTTTTACACTAGGCAGATAAATATGTGATTAAGAAGATATACATTAAGGATTAAGACGGTTTTTGCCCCTAATAGTTTTCAGGGTCACTCCGTGTATATGATTAGTCAAGACTATAAGACTTAAAAACAAACAAACACACTCTCTCGTTTATAATATTAGTATCTAACGATTATAAATATATATGCAAATAAGAGAACGGTAAGTACTTGTGGTGTGATGACGAAGTAATTATATACAATATCACCAATTCTCTTCACGTCAGGATTTAACAGGATATTTGTAGTCTCTATTGACGTCTCTTTCTATTTTCACGCTAATTAGACAAATGACGAAGTAATTATATACAATATCACCAATTCTCTTCACGTCAGGATTTATCAGGATATTTGTAGAGTCTCTATTGACGTCTCTTTCTATTTTGACGCTAATTAGACAAATGACGAAGTAATTATATACAATATCACCAATTCTCTTCACGTCAGGATTTATCAGGATATTTGTAGAGTCTCTATTGTCGTCTCTTTCTATTTTGACGCTAATTAGACAAATGACGAAGTAATTATATACAATATCACCAATTCTCTTCACGTCAGGATTTATCAGGATATTTGTAGAGTCTCTATTGTCGTCTCTTTCTATTTTCACGCTAAATAGACAAATGACGAAGTAATTATATACAATATCACCAATTCTCTTCACGTCAGGATTTATCAGGATATTTGTAGAGTCTCTATTGTCGTCTCTTTCTATTTTCACGCTAAATAGACAAATGACGAAGTAATTATATACAATATCACCAATTCTCTTCACGTCAGGATTTAACAGGATATTTGTAGTCTCTATTGACGTCTCTTTCTATTTTCACGCTAATTAGACAAATGACGAAGTAATTATATACAATATCACCAATTCTCTTCACGTCAGGATTTATCAGGATATTTGTAGAGTCTATATTGACGTCTCTTTCTATTTTCACGCTAATTAGACAAATGACGAAGTAATTATATACAATATCACCAATTCTCTTCACGTTAGGATTTATCAGGATATTTGTAGAGTCTCTATTGTCGTCTCTTTCTATTTTGACGCTAATTAGACAAATGACGAAGTAATTATATACAATATCACCAATTCTCTTCACGTCAGGATTTATCAGGATATTTGTAGAGTCTCTATTGTCGTCTCTTTCTATTTTCACGCTAAATAGACAAATGACGAAGTAATTATATACAATATCACCAATTCTCTTCACGTCAGGATTTATCAGGATATTTGTAGAGTCTCTATTGTCGTCTCTTTCTATTTTCACGCTAAATAGACAAATGACGAAGTAATTATATACAATATCACCAATTCTCTTCACGTCAGGATTTATCAGGATATTTGTAGAGTCTCTATTGTCGTCTCTTTCTATTTTCACGCTAAATAGACAAATGACGAAGTAATTATATACAATATCACCAATTCTCTTCACGTCAGGATTTATCAGGATATTTGTAGTCTCTATTTTCACGCTAATTAGACAAAGAGAACATATTATGTTATCTGTGGTACTATTAGCTATTTGGTTTCTATACTTTATTTCACACAATTCTTACATTCTTTTCTTTCATAATTCGTCTGGGTTATACCTGTCCTGGAGTATTGACGTCTTCATCAGACGGAATATTATTTATGTGATCCTATGTCAGTATATCTATCTCAGTTCTTAATTTTTTTTTATATACCGACTATAATAGCAAATAAGCTGACGGACTGTCAGTATCTTATGATGTAATCCTTTTGAAACCTCTTTGTATGTAACCCCTATTCTTTCTTACACACACAAAGTAACTTTTAATTGAGATGCAACTATCATATAATTTATATTTCTTAAAATAAGTATGTAATTTTTTTTTTTACTATATGTTACTAATAAAGTATATTCTGTCTAAAGAGGTGAGACCATCTTTATCTTAAGTCTTGGTTTTTAATATACATTGTTTGTTTTTATTGTTATTTAAAAAAAAAAAAGTCGCTGTCGCTGTCTGTCCATCCCTATGTATGCTTAAATCTTTAAAACTACGCAACGGATTTTGAAGCGTTTGTTTTTTAATATATTGAGTGATTCAATAGGAAGGTTTATATGTATAATACATGTACACGAAGCTCCGGCGAGTAGCCAGTTACTAATAAAGTATATTCCACTTAAAGAGGAGTTTTTATCACATTACCAAGACTTAATTTGGTAATGTGATGACCCTGGCAGGTAGAGACCCGTGTCCCAACATCAAGAGTACATTATTATAATTACATATTACTAATAATGTAAACACATATGATGATGGAATCCTTTATGCCAGTATTTGTACTTTCAAACCTGTTTTTGGCATAATTGGGTAATGTGGTATCATGACGTCACAAAATATAATCAAGACAATGCAAATAAGTACACAAACTATTATATATATGTTAAAGCAAGATGCTTAAGAGGATATAGGACACAATGTCTATAAAAATAAATAAAATTGGAGCGCCTGTTTGTAATTTCAAAATACCAGCTATATGTGATACTTATATCAAACAACTAATTTTAAAACATTTTGTCTATCTATTTGTTTATGTGTTCGTTTTTGCTAATCTCAAGATAAACAGCTGGATAGATTTTGACGCCACTTTCACTCGCACATAGCTTGGGTCACTTAGGCTACATTAAATTTTAGAAATTTTATTTATATATTAACAAAAAAATGTAAAATTCCACGCTTAGAAAACCCCGGACAAAAGCTATTAAATCTAAATATATATATAATTTGTCTAGTACCAATAATCCTTGCTCTATTTAGCTTAGTATTAGATGGCGCTGTGTGAATTGTCAGAACAAATTGCTATTATATTTTTTTATGTCGGTTTAAAAATTAAAGATTAATAAACTTCGGCATGCATCTTTGATAATGCCTTTGAATTGGAACCGGTCCGTTTAATTCAAAACAGTCGCAATACCAAGTGGAAAATTACGTTGTAAGCACTTAGTTATCAATGTCCTAAGCAGGTTTTATAAAAAAATATTTTTATAATGGCAAAAGAAAAACATTCGACATTGAATTTAAGGTTTCGATAATAATATTTGACTTTCAATGTATTTGTTTTTTTCCTTATGGATGATAATGGAGTAGTGCTCCCGCCTGCGCTAACGGTATACGCTGGCGGGGCACCAGTGGAGGATAATAAGATGAACATGAAGTCAGATCAGTTAGCCCGCCGTGGCAAATTTACCAGAAATTTAACATGATGGTTACCAGGAGAAACCTCACATGGTACATTGCTAGTAATGGGGTTATTAATATACATTACTAATAATCCTCTGTCTGTATGTATTTGTCATCTTTACGATTTTGACTGAACAGATTTTAATGAGAATTAATATGAATGTAGATTATATAACAAGAACCAACATAGGCTCAAAGCGCTGCATTTCAGGCCAGATCTGGCAGGTCTGTTAGAACTCTTACAAATCTATATGTAAAGAAGTTAAACTATTCTAAACATTTATTTGCAACATATGATAATTCGATTCACACTTGACCGGTTTTTATTTTAATTCACAATGGTTAGACACGCAAAGGACACAGTATTACGAGATCACTAATTATAGTCTACGATTGCGGGACCGCACCTGAAATACGTAACACACCTTTATTATCATACCTGCGTCACGCTAGTTTCAACCACAGAATAGAAATAGCCTTAAATTTAAGCACTATTTTGTTACATGTCACATTTTATAATCTGTCATTCATTCGAAATGCAGTTTAAAACAAGAATATTGACAACAAAATTTGCCTGTTACTTTTTTAAACAAATGTACAACTTTATATTTTTAGGTGTGAATGGAGCATATCAAATAGGATATAAAAATATTAAATATACATATAGAATCATTGTAGAATGTATAGTAACTAGTGGCCACCTAGTGTTCGAAATTAAACCATAATTATTTTAAATTGTAAATTCCACCGTTTATTATGATTATATCCGACATTCAATAAGACTATAGACAAATAATATTAAAGACAAACAATATCACTCTATTCTCAATTTGACCGAAGATTTTAATAATAAACAAAATAGTATATATGTGTGTTAAATACATGGTAGTGTGTGAAATGCTTTTTTATTGAATTAATGTACTTTTATGCATAATTAAAAAAATATTAGCATTCTACATTCTTTCTATATAAACGACAAGCGTGCGAAATTACGTACGGAGGAGTCCGCGCAATTTTCTTCAAGTATTTTTATGTAGATAATAATTATAGGCATTGACATCTGTCGATGCCACGGTGAAATCAATACTTGACAGATATGTCTACATTTGGCTGGGCATATTTGAATTCAACGTGGCAAAGGAAGGCTCTATCCTCTAGATAGAGCCTATCCAGTAATATACCTACTTTATGAACGGTGTTCTTATGACCTCAGAAAATTCAGAACGACATCTAAAAATCCAAAATCACGTCAAATCGAAATAAAAAATCTAAATTAATAAAAAAGATTTTTGGTGTCTATCAGATTTGAATTCACGACAATTTGGGTCTAAGGTCGGTAGTCATTCACTCGGCTTCGAA